TCCATCCACACCTTCCCGACTTCGCTCAGGTGCATGCTCTCCCGTCACAATCATAAGCGCGGTCATCATCGCTGCGCACTTTGAGGCCGATCAACGGCCGTCTGTGGACCAATCTTGTAGTCGGAGGTTGTTGCACCTGCGCCCGCTGTCATGGCGCTGAGCAGATTCGCGTACGTGCGGTCGTACGAGCAACAGGATGCTGCGTTGCCCAACACGTATATGCTGGTCAGGCTGGATGGCAAAGGCTTTCACAAGTGAGTAGCGAAATGGAAAGCCTTCGACGCTTCCGTCATGAGTGGAGATATCTTTGCGGGTCATTCCAGCTGCCGCAGGGTGCTCCAGGCGGAGTCTGTTCGAGCCTTCTCGCGCTGACCGAAGCAATCAGCACGTCGGCGAGAGTCGACAAGGCAATGCGCTGACCCATCAATGATCCCTCGCACAGATTCAGTGCAAAGCATCAATTTCACAAGCCCAATGACGCGAGAGCTCTCGAACTGATGAACCACGCGGCCAGAAAGGTGATGGAGCAGCTTAGACCCGAGGTGGTGTTGGCCTTCGGAGAGAGCGACGAGTACAGGTACGTAGTGGTGGTAGAGCGGCTCAGCATCATGATACGCGCATGCTGCTCCTGTGAATTGAAGTGGGCTGTCTGTATGCTGTGAGGTGCTGAGCGCGCTTTCCGTACTTCCCAGCTTCCTCTTGAGGCGATCATGCACACTCTACAGCAGGCGCCAGAGGTGAGCGTTCTCTCTTGGTGCGCGAACGTGCGTATCTTGCTGAGCTCTTTTCGCTTCACTGATCCGCTCAGCAAGATCTTGACCTACATCACGTCACTCTTCACTTCGAACTACGTCCTGGCATGGAGCACTTTCTTTCCTCATCAGCACCTAGACGAGGCGCCTTCATTCGATGGGAGATTGGTCTTGTACCCTACAGAGAAGGAAGTCAGGGACTATTTCTCGTGGAGACAGGCTGATAGTGAGTCTCTGCTGCTCTAGGGCACGCGCGCTAGTAGCTGATGCTCGCACCTCTCCGGGCGTCTCTACGCAGCTCATGTCAACAATCTATACAACACCGTCTTTTGGGCAATGGTGCAAGGAGGCAGGACAGAGAGGGAAGCTCACGAGAGATTGAAGGTGGGTGGCCATGCGAGTCGGAAGAACGGAGGGCAGCGAGCTTCGCCGGTCAAGCTACTGTTGAAAGCGTCGAGCGTAGCGTTGATCGGGTGATGCGCCGCTTCCTCCGATCATCGCACAGGGCACACTCTCAGCCGACAAGAATGAGATCCTGTTCAACGAGCATAACATCAACTACGATTCGCTTCCTCCCTTGTTCCGCAAAGGCAGCATATTATGTTGGGGGCCCGAGGCAGACGCTGGCTTGGAACAGAAAGACTCGTCGTCACCGAGCTCATTACAGGTCAAGACGAAGGCTAAGAGCAAGATGATGCTCCGGACCTTGCACGTCGATATTATTGGCCATGCGTTTTGGTCGTCTTCGCGCATACAGCCTCGAAGCTCAGTACCACTAGTGGAGACGAACGAAGATGCTGAGATCAGCGAGGAGGGTGGTGCTGCAGACCAGCCCGACTCAAACCGAGCTTTGAACGTGATGAGCGGGCCAGCGGAACAACCGGATCGGACGGACTCGCATCGCACCAACGCCTACGCAGGGCTGGGTGCCAGAGCTCTTGCCAGCTGAGCTCGAAGAGATTTG